TTTTAAAATTCTATTCATATTAACGTTATACTGCAAATCATCAGCTAGATGGAAAAACCAGCAAGAGTGCTTATTTAAATCAATTGAAGGTGGTAGGGCTGGAAGAGTGGCAGGGGCTGAGTCCCCTTGGTAGTAGTGATGTCATTAATGTTAAGAATACGATTATTGTTAGTTGATTTTCCTATGAAATATTTATGGTTACTGAAAGTTAGGAAAATTTTCGAAGCACCATTTCATTCAGTGGGTATCAGTGGTCAGTCTCATATGTGGCACTTTGTTAATAATGATATGGGCTGCTTTGGACTTTTTGTACTTAAATTTTGCAAGGAAGAAAATGTAAATGAATGTAATGCAAAGAAATGAATGAAATGTTAGATTTTGTAATTTATAATCTCTTAAATTTAAAAATACCAAAATAAAAGTATTTGGGTCAATTAAAACATTTTTGTAACTGGAAGTATGTATATCTGTGATAAACAGACAAACAGTTGTGCAGGTAAAGGCCGGGGAAGGAATTTTGCTGGATTTGTGTTATAAAAAAGGCTGACAGAACATATCAAAAACGCTGAGATACATGACCATTATCTACGGAATCACATCCAAAATGAACACCTCCATCTGATGGGCGAAGTGGTTCTCGAGAAAATAATTGCAGATGCTCAGACTGGCAAATATTAGTCCATCATGCTAGATTGGACTCCTGATGCAAGTCTCATCAGGAGCAAATGTCTATGATAATACAAATTGTCAATGTTTATGTGACAACAGTTGAGATTTGTGAGCATTTTGTTGTCGTAGCACAGGTTTGAGTTTGACAGAAGAATGCTTAAAAAAGCTTGATAAATGATATTTTCAAATACAAAAACTGCAGAAGGCAAGGATATGATAATGGATCCAGTATGTAGGGACGGAACAGTGGTGTACAAAAAACGCATACTCGAGCTAAATCCAAAAGCATTTTACGTTCCATGTGGTTATAACAGCTTAGTGCACAGCGATATGGCAAATTGTTTGACTGCGGCTATCGACCAGGGATTTTTCATCAGATTTACTTGGTGTTTGCTGGGATATGCTCAAGTGATATGTGAAATTGTTTACAGTGAAGCCAATCTCAGAAACACGTTGTAAATGTCGAATAGATTCCGTTAAAGCTGTGAGGTTTCAGCTAGGATCAGTTTATGGTGCATTGATTGAGGTCTCCGAGAGTGCAAATGATAGAAAGGCAAGAACGGAGGTTGCCGGTTTGGCAAATCAAATTAAACGCTACCCTTTCCATGCCATCGAAACGATTGGCACTTTGAATTACTAGAGAGATGTCCTGCATTCAAAAAACTTTCTCCAGTCTTATTTATTGTATATTGCCAAATTTTTGTGGCATTAAATCAATTCATACGTTGTTCTTTATGCTTGTATCTATGTTTTTAGTGTGCTAGTGTTAAATTTTTTAATGTTCCTGAATGCAACTTTTTGCTTGAACTCCATGTTAAAAGATTTTATTTCTAATTTAAACATTTTATTACAGCGCCGGCCGTGGACTAGGATCATGACTCAGTACCAGCCGGTGACTAGGTCACAGGCTAAAGAGAAGGGGGGCCCAAGGCCTTATTTTTAAGACCTCTCTCTCTGAGGTAAGCTTCATTTAATTTATGCATTTTATTTTATGCAATTTTTTCATTATTGCTAAACTGTTGTAATAAATAGTGAATAATTAGGTACATTTGTGACTATTTATTTCTATTTGTATATTATGTTGTGAAGCTAAAAAAATTAGAAAGAATGCAAACAAGTAAAACTAATAATGAAGGATGTCACTCACTTCTGACCTTCATTTAAGTTTTGAAATGGTAATCTATATGCAGGCCCGGATCGAATAGGGTGCGGGGCCCGATTGTTTTTTTTTTTTTTTTTTGCGGAGACCTCTCTCTAAAATTAAATATTTAAATAAAATTCAAATTCAGTATATATATATATGAATATATCAAATGTCATGGATCATCAGACATGTAAACTTCTACATAAATTAAAAAATAAAAATGTTCAAAATACAAAAACATTTATTGAATATAAATTTACATCACCGGATATGAATGCATGAATTTACATATTTCTAAGTTTTTGTTCTGTAAATTCTAAAATTGTTTAAAAATCTAATTTCCTTGCATCTTCACTTTCAATCGACATAATTGCTAAACTATTTAATCTGTCCTGATTCATTGTCGCTCTCAGATAGTTTTTTTGTTCTGGAAAATGATCTCTCTCCAGAAGCAAAACTTACTCTAATTGTTAAGAATATTCGGAGAGCAATAAACACGTTTAGAAATGCCAGTGCTCTATCATTATCCAGATAAAACTTTGAACATTTTAAACGGATTTTCAAAAAATTCTGAAGGAAAAATAGATTTCAAAGCTTCCAGTTCTTCAACTAACATTTTCCCGTCTATATCAGCTTCTTTCACTTTTGGTACATCATTTTCTGTTAACTTAGAATCTGTTAGAGAAATTTTTAATTCAGCTGCATGTTTTTGAAGTACTTCTTTTTCCATATTTTGAAGTTTTCACAGAAACTCAAAAGATTCATTATGATTTTTTAATTGTTCAAAACGATCTTTTAGTGATTCTGTTATAACTAAATCTCTTATTTTTTTAGTAATAATCTCAGGCCAAGACGCAGGATCATCAGTTATATTCTGTGATTCCATTTTCATTCCAATATTTGCTTCTTCCTGTTCCGGCTCCATTATGTGCAATTATGTTTCTTCTTCATTCTTTCAATTGTTCTTAATCTTCTTCATCTTTACATGAACTTCTTCATTTTTGTCATTTTCCTCTTCATTTTTATCAGTACTTTCTTCTTCAACTTTGTCATTAGTTTCTTCTTCTCCTTTGTCATCATTATCTATTTAAAAAAATTTGTTTAAAGCTCCTCTGAGTTTTTCACTTTCCGTTTTCCTTTTTGCACTTAATTTCCTTTTTAGACTATCAGTTTTAAATTTTCTTCCTACATCTCTTTCTCGTTTCAGTGGATTCGACATCTAATGATAAAATGATAGATTAGGTATCCATTTTTTATCAAATACTATACTTAAATTTTTAATTAAAAAAACACTTGTTTTGTCAATAAAATTATGTAATACAATTAGTACTTACCTTATTCAACAATTAGTAATTGTAGTCAGAAAATACGACTCTAATAATTATAACGATTAGAAGAATAGCGAACTACAAATGCAAGAAACAATTGACGTTTGATACTATACCAATGGCTGGTATGTTTGTGCAAATAATTGCTTGTGCATATATACGTGCATAGTAGTTAACGTACGTAAAGTAGTTCGCGTACGTAGTGCAAAATCTCTCTAATATAGGACTATCTCGATTAAATTCAATACATTTGACATGAACTTTTACGGGTATGAGTTTTCTATATATTATAAAGCATATATTATATAATAATAAACACATTAATAAATCTCATCCAGCAATGCGAACTTAAAATAAATATATTTTTAATTATTTGAATAATTCATAATTTAGCCATTATTGTCAAAAGCAATTTGCTTTAAATTTCAAAATTTTTTTGTTTATTTTGATGGTAACCCCCTTTCAAATGCGGGGCCCAATCGCCTTTTATCTGGCCCTGTCTATATGGAGCTGCCATAAGGCAATAAGAGCTATTTTTCTAATAGTTCAATTTTAAATCTTCTTGAGCTTAGTTAGAGGGGGACTATAATAAAAGCAGTGCATCTAACTCATCATAAAGATTTTTAATGGGGATTCAAGTTAGGTGAATTGGATGGCCACTTCCTGTGAGCAGTGTTTTGATGTTTGAGGTACTTATTCATAAATTTTGGTTTATGCGGACATTCATAATTATCCATAAGAATAAATATTGGACAACCTGCTATAACTTGCAGTGAGATAGCTCAATTGATGAGCCTGATCATCAACACCTTCTATTCCAAAAAAGAAATCTTTCTTCGAGAAATGATTTCAAACTCATCGGATATAAGTAATTCTGATGGATATTTGACATGTTGTAACATGTTAAGATTGCAAACAAATGAGGTTGTATACGAAGTGAAGAAGTAGCATTATGGCCTTGGGACCATAATTTGATTTCGTTGCAAAAATGTGTATTGGTCATAGATTATTTCAGTTTTAGTTCATTGGAAGATATGAATAAATATAATGTGATTAAAAATTAGCATCTTAATTAAAGATATAAATTTTTTCTTTAGGCATTTGACAAAATTGGGGGTATGTACGACGAAAGCAGATCTGGTAAACAACTTGGGGACAATTGGAAAGTCTAGTGCCAAAGCATTTATGGAAGCAGTGCAGGCTGGTGCGGGATCTGGTAAACAACTTGGGAAGAATGGCAAAGTCTAGTGCCAAAGCATTTATGGAAGCAGTGCAGGCTGGTGCTGATATCTCTATGATTGGACAGTTTGGTGTAGGTTTCTGCTCAGCTTATTTAGTTGCAGACAAACTAACTGTAACAACAAAACGTAACGATGATGAGCAGTATACTTGGGAATCATCAGACGGTGGATCTTTCATGATTCAACCTGATCATGGTAAGTTATTTAGTGGCATATGGCAGTATTAATTTTACTATATTAAGAATAGCTGAGATTTCTTTGGTAGTAAGTTAATAGAATATTAATGTTCAGGTAAATATACAATTTAAGGATATCATTGTAGTTGTAAAAATTGATGACTTTAGATGAGTGTGATGAATCCATGGCCAAGAAGCTATTAGATACATAAATCTAGGATTTCTGTTACTCAGCACATCTGACTGATTACTACAGGTTGCTACAATAGTGATAATGAGTGCAAACTGTGACATTAGAGATGATCAGTTCAGTTACATTAAAAGTTTTATAACTGCCCCTTTGGCCATAATATATAGTTATTGTGAATTAAAATTTCTTGATGATATTAAAAGTAAATAGATGAATGAATGAAGTGATCCTTTTTAACACATAAGCCATACATGCATTCATTAGTCGCTGTCTTAAATTTTTTTTGAAATAATCATACTACAGTATGTAAATATTTATAATGCTTTATTTGCTAAAGGAAACATCAAATTCAAAATTCTATGCGTACATCAAATGACTTCCTCGTACAGAATTCCCGCATTTCATTTAAACTTATTGAATTTAATTAAATTTACCTATTGCTCGGTACTACAACCCAGCTTCACGCATCCCTACAATGCGACCACATTTAAAGTCATTTAGTTGTCTGTGAGGTGTTCGATATCGTCGTAATAGCATCTTTAGTTGCTTCTTAACGGAATTACAATGCCAGCAACAAAAGAGGGTAAATTTTTCACCTCTGTTACTGCTTTTATACTTTGTGAATTGCGCACTAGAAATGTGCGCTATGATCCCAATTCCTGTTCATTTGCATGTTCGATCAAGATGTTTTTGCATGCCAAATTTCGTCCTTTATTGCAAAAGTCCTTCTTGGTGCTTACGATTTTTTTTGCAAAAGAGCATATATTTTTTGAAAAGGTATAGTCACAAGTATTTATTTGAATTTGGAAATTAATGAAAATTGAAAATCCTTAAAAAAGAAAGTTTAATTATTCCAAAAATGAATAAAATAAATTATACAGTTTTGTACTAAGAAATATGTTGAAAAAATTCTTTGCATAGGCCCACCAGCGGCTGAGCGGTAAAGTCGCTGAACACTGGTAGTTCAGTCTGAGGTTCGAATGCCGCGAACAGGCCGACTGCATGGGCATTTTTGTGGTTTTCCCCCATATGTAACGTGCTTAAATCCCCTTAGAAGCTTCCCTTAGAAATACAATTTTCCTTAGAAAGTCCTCCACGAAAGCATTCCTCTTTCCATGTAGTGCCGAAGGGCAGAACATGTAAATAATAATCCTTTGCACTGGTTATTTAAAAGTGTGTGCATTGCAACCATTTTTCCCACATGGATATTAAAGTCACTGATGATTGATCTTTGAATCCTTCACTATGAGCAATGATCATCATGAATTTTTTTTTAATTGGAAAAGTTTCGCAGAAGGCCACTTATTTTTTATGCAAATATGATTGAAAAAAGTGGTAATAAAACGTGATTATGTGTATCATACTGCTTATACTTTATTTAGGCCTTTCTTAATAGAATATTTTGACCACGTGCTAGTGAACAATAGGCACTAGGGGTAAAATTATTTCCTAAAAGCCACATTACGCATTGGTACATATGTGTAAAATTGAAAAACGTAAAAATTATTTTTTGTATGATACTTTATCACTGGCAGATATTTAATATACGTGAATTATTATAAGTTTGTAACAAATATATTATTACTGCAAACAGTATTTTTAAACATTTTACTTGTGGGTCATCTTCGTGCAATCCAAGCAATAAGTGGAAGATCCGTCGTAAATTTTGCATATATAAATAATATCTCTATACTTTTGCACTGCTTTCAAACTATCTTTCCACTTTTCTTCTTCTTGTTGATTGATCATATGTTCTAATTAGCTGAATTATGCACGGAATCACGAGGGACAAGTTGTTTCAATAAACTGCATATCACCAATAAACAAAAGTCAAAGTGATATTTTCTGTGGAATATTTGTTATAGAGAAAGTGAGAATTTGAAAATCATTAATTTCAAAATATGCACAAATATTTTGGTAGGCCATCTAGAGCCCCTCCTCCACCATGATCATCTGATCTTGCTTATCAATCCCTGTCATAAATTTATTACATTGAATGACAGGAAATGGTTTTCCTTTTGCCTCTTGTTTGTCGTTTCTACAATATCGTTTTTGTATTCATTAGAAATATAAACTACATTTCTTTTATCTTTCCATTTGTTGATTATACACCATTAGCATACTTCACTACCGTTACCCTCTATCTTCAGTTTTTCATGCCAACCACCATCTAATTATTCTCTTGTCCTGGGTAGTGTATTTCAGCCAGCCGCATTTTGAGCAAATTCACCATATTTCTAATTTTACATAGTCAATCCTTTGGGGCTTCTGAATTTTGTAGTTTCACAAAGTGCAGTGCTCCAGCAATAAAAGAAAACAATTCCTGCTCATAGTGCGCTCAAGTGTGTATCTCAAATATTGTATCTGTTTTCTGGTAATCTTGAATGTGGTTTATTCTCTTATGTAAAATCTCTCGTATGTAAAATTGATCCCACAAATACCAACATTTCATCTTTTGTGGATTCCTTCCAAGCATTTGTTTTCACGGCAATAAAGTACTTTATGAGTATAGTCATTCTTTTGAGTACTTACTTCATCCAAAATATTTTCAGTAAATAAATGGCAAAATAATGATTTGGAATGTAACTCTAAATAGGCTGCAACAAACACTCTGATTTTGTGAAAGATTTTGTGGTTTTGTTCCATTGTTGTTGCAGAATTTTCCCAAATTGTATTTTCTACCATAGAAGAATCAAGCTGATGTCATGTCGCCTCTTGCACATCTTTCAACTTCAGAATCCAAAATATCATGGGTATCTTGGGGATAAATTAAATCTTCATCGCTGTCATAACTAACATCATTCAAGTCTACTACAGAACTAGAGATAGACAAGGGCGAAATAAGGTTTTCAACAGCTCAGATTGCAGGACTAGATCAAACTTGTCATAATGGGCTTTTATCCCATTATGACAAGTTTGGTTTCTTGCTCAATTTCCAATGCGTTATGGGAGTGAGCGAAACTGACCTGAGGAAGTGTTGTGATGTTCTCAGCGATATCTTAACAGATAAAATTACTGGGTCGGATGTTGATGCTCATGATTTATGTGCTGAATTGGGCAACTTAACAGGTTTAGTGCAACAAAGTACTGCTGCTTTTAAAAATCTGCAGTTCATTAAATTCTTTCCCAAACGTCTCTGTTGCATTGCTTATAGCTTTGACATTTCCAGTAACTGTCGCGTCTGCTGAACGAAGCTTTTCAAAGCTCAAGCTGATTATGAGTGACCAGCAAACAAGCATGACGCAAGAGCGTTAATATCAATTGAGGTACAAAATCTCATGATACTGAGGAATACAGTTGTTTGGTAGGAAGTTCGATATTACCCTTAATGTTACTAACAGAGGCTGTTTGAAGTCTTTAACATGAATTTGCAATATTTTTTACAATTATTCCAAATTTGTCATAGTTTAAAGTGTTGGCTTTCTTTTTCTGTTAACACAATATGTGAAGTTGATGAAAATAATTCATTCACGTCATGTTCGTTTTTGTTCTTTTACTGCTTGTAGTTGAAACGTATTAACTTATTTTTAATGATCAGCAAACAAATGCTTTTAGATAAATGTGAAAACAATTATATCGAGAAAATTATTTCTGTACACTGATAAATGTACAGAAGTACAACAAAGTTTATAAATTAGTGGATGAATGTTCATCAGTATTTAATATCTGATACAAAATAACTGATACATGATCAGAAAATTGCATGAGGCAAAATGGCTGAAATTTTGAATTTTTATTTTAGATGCCAAGACAAGAACGAAGTTCGTATGCAGGAGGAGGACAATGATGCGGAAACGTTTGCATTCCAAGCTGAGATAGGCTACTCATTGAGCATCATCATCAACACCTTCTATTCCAATAAAGAAATCTTTCTTCGAGAACTGATTTCAAACTCATTGAATGTAAGTAATTCTGTTGTATATTTAACGTGTTGTAACATGTTAAGATTGCAAACTAAATGAGGTACTATACAAAGTCAAGAAATAATGGAGGACCCTTGTGACCATCATTTGATTTCGTTGCAAAAATTTTTATTGGTCATAGATTGTTTCAGTTTTACCGAGGGCCTCAATAATTTTGTTAGCATGACTGCTGCTAGAGTAATATAGTATACATCTTAACTACCAAGTTTATGGCTTAAAATTAGTTCATTTGGATGACATAAGTAAATATAATGTGATGTAAAAACTAGCATCTGAATTAAAGATATCAATTTTTTATTTAGGCACTTGACAAAACCAGGTGTGAATGAAGATCCTAGCCACATTGACACCCTGTATCTGAGAGTTAAGCATCATTCCGAACGAGGAGGATAGAACCTTGGCCATCATTGACACCGGTATTGGTGTAAGCAATTGCAGATTTGGTAAACTTGGTGATTTGGTAAACAACAGATGTCTTATTTTTTAATTTTTTATCAAGGAAAATATTTTCCTATTATAAAATTGCAAGTAATTGTATTCTGAAAAGTGCATTGAACTCTGCTTAATTATTTGATTTCCATACACCAAATGATGCAAATTTTTTTATGAACAAAAATGCTAATTGTGAAAATCGACAACCATAATGATAATGATAGTTTTCAAAATATAGAATTTATTCATCATTGGTTTTTATTAACATTGAACATTTGTACATATATTTAGCTACTAAGCCATTTTTAATCCTTTTAGGTGCATTCTGATCAAAAATCAAAGATTATAAATACCTGAGTAAATTGGTTCATGAAATGCATGAACAAAATAAATAACAATGCTTAATTAAGCATGAACAAAAATAAGAAATTATCACCTGATGGTAGTAAATTGGTGAAGCTCAGCTCAGTTTTGCTGTTAATATAGTAAGCACCACAGATGTTAACAAGTATTTTACATGGAAGTTTGGAATTCTTTGCCACAGATTCTTGGCCCACAGAAGACGTTTCTCCACTATCCAGCAGGAATGGACTAGAATCTGCAATCATTAGCATTATTATTGAGGAAAATTTTGGAAGTTCCTATGAAATCCAGACTGAGGAGAAAATTAATACAGACAATAATTCTGCCCTCTAAAAATTAAGCTTTTGCTACTTTTACCCAATAAAAGATGTTAGTATTGAGGATCCCCTTCCAATTCTATTCCAAATGCTTGTTACATTCATTAATTTATCCTGAATTTTAGAGATTTGTCTGTTTGTCCTGTGTATGATTATGTGATGTGCTCAGTTTCAAAGATCTCTTTAAATAACTAGAACGGATAATTCTCGTTAACATGCAGGGAGGGGGAAAAACACAAATCATGAAACTTTATGGTATGTATTAATAAGAATAAAATGTAACTTGTAAGAATATTGTATTTCATTGTTCATGAAACTGCAGCCACAGTGAATTCATGCAGTGGCTTGTTTTTAAATATTTAGGTTTACTTTTTTTTTGCTAAACAGCCCTAGAAAATGTTAAAAGAAATAAATGATTTCATTTTTCAACACATATAATATTGCTTATTTCTGTCACATACTGCTTATTGTTATAAATAATAAAAGAATTTTTAAGTTGTATAATTTATTAAAGATATAACTTAAATGTTTGGGCATTGGAGGCTGCATTTTACGTTTAAGAAGAATGTACAAATAAAGGACTAATTAATTGAATATATTTTAGCTAAAATTGCACTTTAATGTATGCTCTGGCATGAGGATTAAATTTTTCTACCCATTGAAAATTACTTTTCAAGAGTTATATTCTTTCCTTATTCTGTTTTGCAACTCATTTTACATGTTGGGCAACTCATTTAAGTGCACAGAATATGGAGGAATTTTGCCAACATGTGTGCAGTTCTTCTATATATGCAATTCTATAAATGAGCACATAGAACTTTTATTTGGATATTTAACCTGGAAGAATTTTTTTATTTGAGTTAATGTGCAGTTATTTTTAGGTCTTAGGTCATTAGGAAACTTTTGTATTTTCATATTCTTATTCATATTTGTATGTTCATATATGTTGTATATTCATTTAGGAAACTTTTGTATTTTGTATATCCATAGTGTTTGTTAGGAAAATTTAAGTTTTTTAATTTGGAGGCAGTAAAAGATACCCAAAACTATTATGCCTCCACCATTCGGTAGCAAAATTATCTTTGCTGAATCTAAATGTGTTAAATATTGAGGAATGTTAAATATTGAGTGTATCGTGGTTAGTGCATTGTCGAGAGAGCATGTTGACAGGAACGACAAAACCGAAGAGTCGGGAGCTGTGCTCGTGTGTTCTCGAGTGCATCGTGAGTTGTAGTGTGGAGAGTCTTGAGAGTATGTGAGGCTGTGTGACACTGTGCCTGTTAACCTGTAGGCTGTGTCGCTGATCATGTTTATAGTAGTTCATCGATGACTGTTAAATGTGTTTTGGAGCTGTCCTGACAATACTGGCCAATAAAGTGTGTATCGATACTTTATCAAGTGTCTTCATCCTCAGTCACTCCAAATCCTCACGAACCCCGTACGAATGTGAAAGAAGAAAATAACGCATTAACTGGTGTCTGGAGAATAAAAAAAAAGTAACAGTATGATTTATATTGATTAATATGACCTTAAGAGCACAAAAAGATGCTTTATTTAATTAAAATTTTTATGCGTGTTTTGCATAAAAATACAAAACATGCATAACGAAATAAAATTAAAAAAAACATAATGACACATAAAGTTGGTTGAGAATTTGTGGAGTTCCATTGAAAGAGTTCAGCACAAATCTGGACATTTGTGATTTAATTTCTTTTGAGATGTCTGGGAGATGTGTGTCATGGATTGGAAGAGTTTTTGTGGAAAAGTATGTGTATGAGAATATGAGTGGAGCTTCTGGTGTGATTGCTGAAACTGGTAAAAGCAAAACTGGAACGTGGGAATTTGATCATGATAAAAGAATGAATAACGTTTGGAGGTATTGTGAGAAATTCTGGCAGTGTTCTTTTTTGAGTTTTCATAAATGCAAATGGCATCTTTTAGTGTCCAAAAACTTATGTTGCTTCGTTTCCATTATATTTTGAATAATTTGCTCAATTTAAAAATATTTTTCTTATTAATAACAATATGCATAATGTGAAAGAAATAGGTACATTATACAGTAGACTCCCGATTATAAGCGCTTCCCGCACAAAGTTTTTTTTTTTTTTTTTTTTTTAACAAGCGTAAAGCAAAGAAAATAAAAATGTTCCAGAAAACTGAACGAAATGTTAAATTTCATTATGCTTATTTATGACAAAAATATCCCAGGCCTTCTCTGAACCTTCCCCTCTGATGAGTCAATTATTTCTTACTCACCCTTGCAGTGCCCGCTCGACAGCCTTCTGTCGTCTTAATCTTACTGACACGTCCACTTCCTCCCACTCGGTATTTTTAGTTTAAGCCTGATGGTGTTTGAGAACCGGTCAGAGTTAATTTCTTATCTTTTATTGTGTTCAGTGCTTGTGCTTTTTGGTTTTGCATTTTTCGTTACAGATTTAAAATGTCAGGAAAACGAAATGGCGCTACGAGGCTAGAGATGGAAAACGAAGAAAATAGTCAATTTTAATATAGATTTAACTGCATAAAATTTAATGATTTATATTTAAAATATATTGATTTATGAATTAGAATTCTATAAATATGCATAAAGTGTCTATAACATTCCTTAAAAAAGCATAAAAGTTTTACGCGTTTCTTTAAAGCGGTCTGCGAGATCACTCACAGTAATTATGCCAAAAAAATTGTCGCTCTGTTTCAAAATTAATTTTAAAAGGCTTTTAGTCAATATTCAAAAATTCAAATCAACTTGCTCAATCTAGTTTATTTTTTAATTAGAAATTAATGTATGACACAATGTATTTTTCACCCTTTCTAAAACACATAATGCAATAAATGTATGTGTTTTCTGAGAAACAAAAATCTATGAAGCTTGCTCTTAATAAATTACACTAAAGTAAATTAAAAAAGGGAAAAAAAAAAAAAAAATCAAGCCTTTAACTTGATTTGCACAACAAAATTCTTGATTTGGGGCTCTAATACAAGAGCTCAAATTTTATTATAGAAATGTTCTAATATTAATGTAGTAAACTTGCCACTCTAATACAAGAAGCTCAAATTTTATGATAGAAGTAATCTAATATTAATACAAGATCTCAGATTTCATAGTAGAAATATTCTAATATTAACGTAATAAATTTGCCAGTCTAACACGAG